TGTGATCTCTCTCTCTCTCTCTCTCTCTGTCAAATAAAAAAAAAATCATTCTTTAGGGGTGCCTGGGTGGCTCAGTCAATTAATCATCTGCCTTTGGCTCAGGTCATGATCCCAGAGTCCTTGAGATAGAGCCCCACATCAGGCTCCCTGCTCAGCGGGGAGTCTGATTCTCCCTCTCCCTCTGATCCTGAATCCTCACTAACTAACTAACTAAATAAATAAATCTTTAAAAAAAATAAAATCAAGAGTCTAGGCTAATGGAAAATAATGGCTATTTTAGTTTAATATAAATCTATGCAAAAACTCAAGTGAGTTTTTGAGAGCTTATATTGAATTTGGAAGTTTGTCATTCAGCTAAGTGGCCAATGCGAAAGGAAATGGGCCAGGATTCAGTTTTCCATGAGATTCTAGTCAATGTTTGGTGAGGAATAAAGAGAAGAGATTTGGGTGTCTGTCTGGCTCAGTCGGTGTAGCATACAATTCTTGATCTCAAGGACATGAGTTTGAGCCCCATGTTCGGCATAGAGATTACCTAAAAAAAAAAAAAAAGTTAAAAAAAAAGAAGTTGATAGCTTCAAATAAGGAAATCTAATCATTTTATTTGATGTAAACAAGGGGACTGAATTAGCTGCACTTTGCTCTTCTGTTCCTTACTACAAGAGGTTATAGAGTTGGTGGTTAGGGATAAGCTTTTGCTTTTAATAAAACCCTCATCAAATGGCTCCTATTTATTTTATTAAGTGCTTTATTCTGTACCAAACAGTATGTTAAGACTTTACCTACATTATGTTATTTGATCCAGAAGAAATTGAGGCTTGGAGAGCTTATGTTAATTTATTCAACAAAGATTTATTTGTTGTCTGCTGTGTGTTAAGCTTTGGGTTTGCAGTGGTGAACAAGTCAGACACATCCCTACCCTTCTGGAATTTATATTTAGTAGGGATAACTTTAGCCAGTTGTTTTTTTGTTTGTTTTTTTCTGTTGTTTGTTAAGGATTTCAAGGGCATGGACTATTCCTTTGTTTATGACATCCCCTCCTCATTGGCCTATATATGGCTTCCCCTAATTTTTAAAAAGAATTATTTATTTATTTACCAGAGAGAGAACAAGCACCAGTGTGCGCTTGTGGGGGGAGGGGCAGAGAGAACTGGAAGCGAGAATTCCAAGCAGACTCCACGCTGAGTGCGCAGCCTGACATGGGGCTTGATCCCAGCACCCTGAGATCACGACTTGAGCCAAAAATCAGAGTGGACGTTTAACCAACGGAGCCACCCAGGCACCCCTAATTTATTTTTTTAAGTAACAAACTAAGCATTGTTTTATTAAGTAATCTCTGCACCTCATGGAGGGCTTGAACTCACGACCCAGAGATCAAGAGCCGTGTGTGCCACCGACTAAGCCACCTAGGCACCCCAATTAAACCAACCATGTACAGAAAAACTAGAGCCTTAAGAATCACAGAAATCAATAAATATTCCACTCCATCCCCTTGCTCCCCCAGCCTGAGGTAAACACCATCCTGAATCCCATGTTCATCATTCTTTATTTTCTTTTTTGTGTAGTTTCATCTTATCTGTATGTGTTCTGAAAAGCATATTTTTATTTTAGATTCTTTTAAGATTTTTTTTTAAAGTAATCTCTACACCCAACATGGAACTAGAACTCACAACCCTGAGACCAAGAGTCACGTGCACTACCAACTAAGCCAGCTAGGCACCCCAATTTTTTTTTAATTTTATAAAAAGTTTATCATGCCATGTATCATCTTCTGGGACTCTTTTTTTTATTTGATATTTTATTGCTAAAACTCCTCCCTGTTATTGAGTATCACTGTGGTGGTTCACTTTTTATTTTATTTTATTTTTTTTAATTTTATTTTTTATAAACATATAATATATATATATATATATTTTTTTTTTAAAGATTTTATTTATTTATTTGACAGAGAGAGATCACAAGTAGACAGAGAGGCAGGCAGAGAGAGGGAGGGAAGCAGGCTCCCTGCCAAGCAGAGAACCCGATGCGGGACTCGATCCCAGGACCCTGAGATCATGACCTGAGCCGAAGGCAGCGGCTTAACCCACTGAGCCACCCAGGCGCCCCAATAAACATATAATATATTTTTAATCCCCAGGGGTACAGGTCTGTGAATCAACAGGTTTACACACTTCACAGCACTCACCATAGCACATACCCTCCCCAATGTCCATAACCCCACCCCCCCTCTCCCAACCCCCCTCCCCCCATCAACCCTCAGTTTGTTTTGTGAGATCAAGAGTCACTTATGGTTTGTCTCCCTCCCAATCCCGTTTATTTTATTTTTTTAAGTAGTCTCCATATCTAGCATGGAACCCAGCACAGGGCATGAACTCACAATCCTGAGAGGAGACCTAAGCTGACATCAAGAGTCAGATGCTTAACTGACTGAGCCACCCAGGTGCCCCAGGTTCTCTCATTCTGACTGCCAAATAATTTTCCATTGTATGAAATATATGTACATATATAGACAGAGACATATATCATTGTCTAGACATCCATTCCCCTGTCAATGGGTATCTGGGTTGCTTCAAGCATTTTGCAGTTGTGAACAGTGCTGCTCTCAACATTCTTGTATGTCTCCTGGTGTAGGTATAGAGAAGTTTCTTTTGGGGGGTGCCTGGGTGGCTCACTTGGTTAAGCATCTGACCAGGCATGGAGCCTGCTTAGGATTCTCTCTCTCCGTCTACCTCTTTCCCTCCCCTCTCTGTCTCCTAAGAAAGAAAAAGAGAGAGAGAGAGAGAAATAAAGAAAGGGGGAGGGAGGGAGGGAGGAAGGAAGGAAAGAAAGAGAAAGAAAGAAAGGAAGGAAGGAAGAAAAGAAAGAAAGAAAGGAAGGAAGGAAGAAAAGAAAGAGAGGAAAAAGGAAGGGAGGGAAAGAATGAAAGAGAGAGGAAGGAAGGATGGAAGGGGAAGGGAGGGAGGGAGGAAGGAAAGAGAGAGACAGAGAAAGAAAAACAGGAAGTAAGGAAGGGAGAGAGGGAAGGAATGAAAGAAGAAAGAAAGAAAGGAAGGAAGGAAGGAAGGAAGGAAGGAAGGAAGGAAGGAAGGAAGAAAGAAAGAGAAAGAAAGAAGGGGAAAGGAAGGAAGGAAGGAAGAAAGGAAGGAAAGAAGGAAGAAGTTAGTTTCTCTTGGTTATATAAATGAGAAGTGAAATTCCTGGGTCAGAAACTATGTTTGTTGATCTTTATAATATGGTGCTATACATTGCGTTCCAAAGTAATAATCCCAATTTATACTCCCACTATCAGTCTTAACTACTTCTGTCATTTTGTATTCTCATCCACATCTAAACCAAGGTATATGTTGCCAGAGTCTCTGCTCTTTCTACCATGACATACTACTTTCTGTCCTGTCCCAGGCTCTTTTCCCCAGAAGCAGCATGAAACTTGTATCTCCTGGGGGCCAACAGAGGTGACTGGGAACTGGGAGCATCTCTGGGTGAGATGCAACAAGGGTCCCAGGGCCTGAAGTGAGGATATTGGTGGGCCATCTAAAACCCAAGAGATTCCAAGGATCTCTAATGGATTGTTCCTCTTCCATGAAATTGGGAGCTCTAGTCTCCTTGGGTGCCCTCTGACCTGTTCTCAGCAACTTCCTACATGTGGGTGGGTGAGACAGGCTCTCTGCCTTTGCTGTAACTGTTCCTATCCATTCCCAAGCTGGATATTGGAGGATGAGAGGAGAAGAGGCCTGAATCTGTGTCCTTCCTCTCTCTCCACAGATGTATTGGATGGGTCCAATGCTGGGAACCAATATTGCAGACCTCTTCTTTAAATTTTTGTTCTCCTCTGGTGCTTCATGGGAAACGCTTGTAGCATGTATGACTTGCCATGGGGTAGAGATGGTAGAGCCTTCCAGTGTATCCCATTCTGCCTTCTCTACTACCGCAGAGCCCTCCACTAAGTCCCCCATCAAGCCTGGGCACAACTGAACCTCTTTCCCCATGCTCTTCTACCCCATTTTGTCCTCTTCTCTCTCCTTGACCAGCATGCTTGTCCAGACACCCCCATCCCCAGACTCTTCCTTAGGGATCAAGATTTAAGGCCCCGGGGTCCTGATTAGGACCATATTAGGAGGCATTAGACCCTCGCATTGCTCCATAGCCATGACTCAGTTTCTTTCTTTTGAGTACTTCCTGCTAGGACTTTGTGAGTTAGGAAAGATGAAGGATAAGCTGATTCTGAAATTTAACTACTAAGTCCTTTTCTCCTCCCCAGTCCCCAAGCCCACCCCCACCCTATCCATGGAAGATAGATTCTTCCTCTTATCTTTGTGGTTTACAAGGCCAGGCTGAGGGTTTGGAAAGGGAGGTGCTGGCATGGATTGGGGGTAGGGAACCTGGGTTTGGAGAAAAACAGACACAGCAGAACTATTCTGTCCCAGAGCTGCAGGGTCCACAGATTCCAGACCAAACCAACCAATGGGAAAAGGCCCTCTAATCCCAGAGAACTAAAGAATTCTCTTCAGTTATCCAGCTTCCCTGCTGGACCCCACTCCTGACCCCCACCCCCACCCTTACCCCTGGCCGACTCAGAGGAGACTGAAGGCCCCTAGGAGCACAGTCTAATACCCTGTGAAGTGAACTCAATTTGACTGATCTTCCAAGCAGAACTGAGGAATGTTCTAATATAGATGTCAATCAGGACCATGAACCCTAACTTTGACACAAAGAGAGAAACGGACTTTGACGGTCCCCCTGTTCTTGATCCTTTTCTCTCAGAGTCTTTCTAGCCCTGGCTCTACCCCTACCCTAACACCCACCCAGGGCTCTGCTCATCTCCCTTGGAAGAGGGAGGGGAAAATCCAGCAGCTTTATCAGATGCGTAAGAGTGGGTCCAGCCCTCTGCAGCTCTGAAGGGGTTAAGAGGCTGGACCAGCCACTTCAGCCTGCCCCTCCCAGGGATTAAGAGTCCTCTATAAAGGGGACTGTCCACCCAGATCAGGCCAGGGGGGTATCAGGGACCCAGGCATTGTGCCCATCCCCCCTGCCATGTGGGAACTGAGGTCAGCCTCCTTCTGGAGGGCCATATTTGCTGAGTTCTTTGCCACCCTCTTCTATGTCTTTTTTGGACTGGGGGCCTCACTGCGTTGGACCCCCGGACCCCTGCATGTCCTGCAGGTGGCTCTGGCCTTTGGCCTGGCCCTGGCTACGCTGGTGCAGGCTGTGGGCCACATCAGCGGAGCCCATGTCAATCCTGCAGTCACTTTCGCCTTCCTTGTGGGTTCCCAGATGTCTCTGCTCCGGGCCTTCTGCTATATGGCAGCCCAACTCCTGGGAGCCGTGTCTGGGGCCGCCATGCTATACAGTGTCACCCCGCCTGCCGTCCGAGGAAACCTAGCACTTAATACGGTAATGGTCAGCTAAGTGGGGCTGGATGAACCTGGTACCCTGACTCCCTGCCTGGCGGAGGCCGACCAATTCCTCAAGGGTCTGGGATGTTGTGGGGATGGGGGGGGGGAGTGTATGCTCTCATGCACACACATGTGTGTCAAATGTAGTTTGGAGGAGTAAGGAAGGCATAAAGGCCTGGACTGACTCAAGAGACCCAAGTTCTGGTTTCAGCTTTCCTTCCAACTCCTTGCAGGTTCTTGAGGAGAATTATTTTGCCTGACGGGGCCTCAGCTTCCTCATCTGCCTGAGTGGGTACAATTCTTTCTACCATGTAGGAGTATTATTGGGAGAAACAAGAAGCAAATACAATTACTGTGAAGGGGGTTGTATCATCCTCCCTCTCCAGGGAAATGATGCCATACAGGGCTTGCTGTGTGGGAAGCCCTGAGGAGGTAACATTGGGACAACCCTAATGAGTTGCCTCCTTTCTTCTTCTTCCGCCCAGTTGCACCCTGGGGTGAGTGTGGGCCAGGCCACCACAGTGGAGATCTTCCTGACGCTCCAGTTTGTGCTCTGCATCTTTGCTACATACGACGAGAGGCGCAATGGCCGCCTGGGATCTGTAGCCCTGGCTGTGGGCTTCTCCCTCACCCTGGGACACCTCTTTGGGGTAAGCAGGAGAGGAGAGAAACTTCTTGTTTAAGGACTCTATGGCCCTTAGACCTTTCCCAACTTTTAAAGTTTTTTTCTGCCCAGCTCATGGTCAAACATGAACATAGTCCTCCTCACTCTGTTTTGGTCGGCACAGAGGAGTCGAGCCTGTTCTAGTCCTCTCTTTTGTGATCTCTATATCTGGTCCTTCTTGACCCCAAGGTGGAAGTGTATGCATCAGGAGTAGATGTGGGCTTTGTCTAGGGATCCATAGTGCCTTTACTCCATTGTGGAATGCCCACCCTCAGTTAATCCTTCCCTTCTTGCTGCTCGCTGGGGGCAAGGTGCCAGCCCTTGGGGGCATGTGGGTTGTGGGGAGAGAAGCTGGGGCGAAGTAGGGGAAAGTGTCTCAGTTATGACTGTGTCTTTTGCAGATCTATTATACTGGTGCAGGCATGAACCCTGCCCGCTCCTTTGCTCCTGCCATTCTCACCAGAAACTTCACCAACCACTGGGTGAGTGAGGGGAGAGGGCCAAGATCCCAAAGCCCTCCTGTATGGGTGTGGGCTGCAGGCTCCATATTTGGTTCCTGATTTCCATCTGGATATGTTAACTGCTTTACTAGCACTCAGCTATAGGGGCTGTCGCAGAATCCGGCATGCCTCTGTGAGCACAATTCATTAATTTGCTAGAAAGAGAAGCTCTTGCTCATGTTGTTCCTTCACTGGTTGGTTGGTCAGGGATTTTTTACTAAGTATCCACAGGATTCTAAAACTAGCACTATGAGGATAGACAACTGAACAGGAAGTCAAAACCTGCTCCTCTCAGGGCTCAGGATATGTATGCGTACAGATGGGCCTGCACCTCACCCCCGTTCTAGCACATTATTGGCCACTGTGTGACCATGGCAAATGACTCTGTCATTCTTTGTCCCAGTTTCCTTACCATAAAATGGGGGTGTGAGGAGAAGTAAGTGTGAACATTGTATGTGTGAAATATTTAGCACAGCACCTGGTCTGGACTAAGACCTCAATAAAAATTGGCTATGTCTGTGTTATTTAGTCATATGCCAGCCAAGCATACAGAAATAATTAAAAATTTTTCAAAGCTGTATCCCCATTTCCACGGAAGCATTATTCACAGAAGCCAAAAGGTGGAAGCAACCCATGTGTTCCTCATAACTGAGTGGATAAACAAAAGGTAGTCTCCACATGCACCGGAGTAGTATTCAGCCTTACAAAGAAGGAAGTCCTGTCAAAGGCTACAACATGGGATGGACCTTGAGGACATTATGCTACATGAAATACACCATCACCAAATGACAAATACTGTATAACTCCACTTATGTGAAATGTCTAGAGTAGTCAAATTCACTGAAACAAAGTACAAGGGTACTTGATGGGGGTTCAGGAGAAGGGGCAATGGAGAGCTATTGTTTAATGGGTACAGAGATTCAGATTGACCAGATGAAGGAGTTCTGGAGGTTTGTTGCACAACAATATGATATACTTAACATACATCTGTACTGTACACTTAGCATTGGTTAAGGTGGTAAATTTTATGTCATGTGTTTTACCACAATCAAACCCCCCCTTTTTTCCAAAGCAATCTATAAACTAGTGAAACTGGTAACAAGAAATAGAATATATATGTGGGATAAAGGACTAATTTGGTGAGTCAGAAAAGAAATGGTAAGTTTTGAGGTACAAGCAGTAGAGCAATCTAGAATTTAAAAACAAACACTGGTTTCTGCTTAAATAGTGCCCAGTTGTATGTGCCAAGTACAGATGTTTGTTTTCTTCTCCCTTTTCCTACAGGTATACTGGGTGGGCCCAATCATTGGAGGGGGACTAGGCAGTCTCCTCTACGACTTTCTCCTCTTTCCCCGGCTCAAGAGTGTTTCTGAGAGACTGTCTATTCTCAAGGGCGCCAGGCCCAGGGACTCCAGTGGACAACCAGAGGGCACTGGGGAACCTGTTGAACTGAAGACCCAGGCCCTGTGAAAACTCCAGTTGGCTAGAGGGAGTAGGAAGCTTCTGGGTTTACTCAGAGGGGTTGAGCCAACCCCTGGACGAAGAAAGAGACTGGGGGAGGGACATATACTTCTTTATTTTTTAATTTATGTGTGTTTTTTTTTCCCCCTTTTGCTGTGTGAAATCTTTCAAGTTGCATTCATGAGCTGGTTTGTGCAAACTTCCCTTCCTCCCCAACCCACCTCTCTTCGCCGCTGTGTGTATGATTGTGCGTATGAATGGTATGAATGTGAGTGAACGTGGCTGTGTCTGAGTTTTGGGGCACAGCAGGAGAGGTAGGGAAGGGAAAAAAGCTATCACCCTATACCTTACTCTCCCAACCCAGTGTGGTGAGCACAGGGAACCAAGACCTTTCAGCTTCTGGCCTTCACCCTGCTGCCAGTCAGTTTATTATGGCCCTAGGTTTATGCGGGAGCAGGGAAGCAGGGGGTACTCCTCACAGGAGGCAGATGGAGACAAGGCATTCCAAGGGTTGGGAGAAGGGGCTGAGGGCAGGGAGAGAGAAAATGGAGGCATGAGCCCCATACCAGGTTGCAATTGTACCAAAAAAATTGGGAGAAGTTAATGGAAGAGTGTAGCCAACTTATCTCAGGGATGCTTGCCCCAGGGACTTGGGTGGGGAAGTAGCTCTGAGAAAAGTCGCCAGTGGGATTTGAACTGTTCGGTAAAGCCACATAAACTTGTCTACATCCACCAGCTGGGTTTTGTGTTCGTTCTGGTATGACGGATCTCTTTGGGAGGCCCTGGGCCAGTGAGCTCCCAATCTAAACAAGGGGTAGGGTGAGCCTAGAACCTAGAAAATTTAAATAGTTTAGCAGTTTTGCCAGGCATACCCAGAGGCGCCTCCAGGCAACTGGTACTTAAGCCAAAGGAAAGCTCCCTAAGGTCAAAACAGGAAATCTGACGCCCAGAGCAAATGCAGAGGTAGGGGTGGGGGGCCGTAGGAGGGAGAGGCTTTGATCCTCACAGTTTTAATTTCGTTAGACCGAATCAGAAACACTCTTCAAATGGTATCTTTCTGCTTTTACCCCTGGTTTTATAGTCTTCTTTATTTTCCTTTTTTGTGTGCGTCTTTTCACTTTTCTTTCGTGTGTCCTTTCATCTTCAGCAAATCTCTTAAAACTCTCTTCATATCCCAGAAATTGATTCCTTCTATTCAAATGCTTAATGATTCAGATTATTATTCGTCTGAGCCCTCTCTTCTTTTGTCATCAGCAAAATACACTCATCTCAGCAGAGTCCAGAGGAGATCCTCAACTTACCAGTGAATATTTATTGTTGTTCTCTTCCTTTTAGGAGCCCGCTCCCTTCGCAAGCTTTAAAACTATATCTCTAGCTTGGAAGACCACTCTAGCCCGTAGCTCAACTCTCCACTTCCTCCCAAATAAAGCCTAATTTTTCTAACTAACCATTGAGAATTTGGAATAATCCACTTGACTAAGCGGGGGGTGAATGTTTGCAAATTTACCTCTAATCGGTCTTTGATCCCTATAATCTTAGCAGAAAATTTATAGCGCTGTGGTTCTTAGCTCACCATAGGGGATCAACTCAGATCAAACAGTACTTGTACTCTCTTCCCTTTTCCTTACTTCATCACCACCACCACTATCCCCCCCCCCGCGGCTCGGTTGGGGTTACATGGACCAGCCCGGCTCGCCCGCCCCACTCCCCGCTCAGGCGGGGACTGGTCTCGCCGGTAGGGTGGCGGGAAAGGCTGCGGCCGGGCCCCTGAGGGCCGCTGGCTCCGCAGGGATCCTGAGGACCGGCCGGGAACGGGTGAGTGTGTGGGAGAGAAGGCTCTAGCGGACAACGTCCTTTCAGAGCCGCGGGGGCACCCTCGAGAGGTGCTGCGGATGGTTTCCCGCCACCAGCTTTCAAGGCAGGGGGCGGGGCTTGCGCGATAGGCGCGCATGCGCAATTCTCCACCCCGAGTTCCAGTAGGTGCCGCGGCGTTCACCCCGCGCTCGGCTGTACAGCCGGTCGTCGTGCAGTGGTGCGACTGTGATGGGATGGATGGCGTGGAACCCCTCAGGAAGAACAGAAGGTTCCCGGGCATTTCCACTTTGGAACTTTCCATCCTGTTCAGACCCGAAGAAACAAATGCAGCCCGCCAAGCAGGAGTCGGAAATCGAAATTCGCTTGACTTAAATCTTGGGTGTTTATAGAATGGATTTCTCGTTTCTTTAGCTCCTTTCTCTCGGGTGAGAGACATAAGGAGGATACAGCTCTTGCTTGGGTTTGTGAGCTGGACTGTCAGCTACTAATGAAGCTCCTTCCCTCGATTCTTGGTTCTTTACTTTGCCCTTCGTGCTGCCACTAGTTGCCTTTTTACAAAGTCAATCTGGTCATTTCAGATTAAATTTAAAACTCCCCTCTGGCCCCCCACAGTCAGGTTTAAATCCTTTGGTGGCGTCCGTGGCCCTTCACATCCTCTCAGACTAATTTTCTGAAGCGCCCACATTTTTCCTGTGTCATGCACTCGAATCCCAGCTACATGGAAGGGGTGTATCAGCCGTGTGGTCCTTCATGCCTTAAGCTCCTGCTCTTCCCTCCCACTTGAACTACTTCTCTGCCAAATGAACTTCTCTTTCAGGACTGAGCTTATTTGTCCCTCTGAAAACGTCTATTTCTGGTCCCCCACTGCCCTGGCCAAAGTAGTCACTTCTTCCTTTGTGTTCTGGAAGTATTGTACTTCCTTATGTTAGTGTCATTGATATGGCCCAGTAAAAAGTTCTAAGCTGTGCACTGTGCTCAGTGACAGGTGGACAGAGAAGAATAGGATAGAGTTCCTAACCTTAAGGAACTCACAGTCTAGATGGAGAAACACATGTAAATGAGTCCTCTGCAGTTACTGGGTGACAAGTCTGCACTGGCTCCCTAACTCGTCTCACTTTGGACCCTCTTGAGTAAACTTATTTATTGCCGCAGTTTCACACACCTTGTATTCTGATTCCTCCAAATCTCCAGTTCCAACCCTTCCTCCCTCAATTTCAGGACTTGTCTGCTTCCATTCCAGTTTAAAAACCATTTCTTGATCATTCACATTGTGCTGGTCACAATGATTCCTGATCTCAAGGAGTTTATAATTTAGATCAGTTATTAACAGGAGACTGAGTAGAATCACTGGTGAGCACTTTCAAAACACTCTTGTCCAAGCCCCACCCCCTGTAAGTTCGGATTCTGTAACTAGACTCTGAAAATTCAGAGATGAGTAAGAAATACTTCATGTCCTCAGGGAATCTAAGGCTAAGGGAGGGAGACAGACAGTTCAAACAATCTGTTTAAGTATGACATATAACATGATCTGTAGATATCATGATGGAAGTATATTTACAGCACAAAGTAGACACACAGGAGAGAGAGGTCTCTTCTGTATGGAAGAGTTGGGAGGAAGTACCATTTGGGCTGAAACTTAAAAGATGAAAGGATAGACTCTAGCGCATTTAGGACAGAAGAGTAACTTGAGAGAGCAGCTTAAAAACCAGCAGGGGAGATTATGAAGGACCTTGTATTGTAGGCATTTGAAGCTGCTGAAACTTTGGTTTTGTAGTGCATGCTGTGGTAAATAATTCAAATAGTACTAAAGTGAAAGGTAAATATTTTCTTCTGTTGTAGCCCCCCCATTCTCCCCAGAGACAATCACCATGAAGTTTCTTATGTATCCATTGAAGGGTTTTAAGCAGGGTAGTTATAGTTGTATGGCCAAATCTAGTAACCATTTTGTGAATAGATTTAAGGGAACAAGACTGGAAGCAGAAAAGGAGGTTAGGAAGTGGTTGAGTAGCCTAAGGTAGAGATATTCAGGGTCTGAACAAAGGCAGTAGCAGTGGGGGTTTATAGGGGTTGGATAGGAGAGGTTAAGGAAGTAGAATTAGCCTGAGTTAATGACTTGGGGTATCTAGGATGACGTCTAGCTTTCCTACGTGAATGACCGAGTAGAGAGTGTCAGTCCCTAAAGAGATCCAGAATAGAAGTAGAGACAAATTTAGAGGGAAGATATTCCATTTTGGTCATGTTTAATGTGAGATATCAGTGAGACATAAAGATGGAGAATGTTGTTCATTAGTGGAATGTGAGATTGACACCATGGGACCTCAGTATGGCAAGAGTAGAGATTTGCTGGCCAATGACTCAGAGATGGTAGTTGAAGATGTGAGAATGGATGAGTTTGCCCAAAGAGGCTATGTAGAATAAGACTGGAAGAGAACTGAAGACCAAGGCCTATGACCATCTGTGCTTGAGAAGGAGAGTAGCTTATGGCATCAAGGAAAGGTTTTGTTTTATGTTGGGTTTTTTCCTCCCTGAGATGGAAGGGCTTCGAGCAACTTATATGGGCCAATATAAAGAAGATCGGAAACAAATGAGAAATGAGGAACAACTGGGGCACCTGGCTGGCTCAGTTGATAGACTCTTGATCTCAGTGTGGTGAGTTTGAGTCCCATGTTGGGTGTAAAGATTACTTTAAAAAATAAAAATCTTCCTTACTACATATCCGCCTTTCTTTCTTCCCTCATTTCTTTCTTTTCTTCTCTTTTTCTTTCTTTCTTGAGATTTTATTTATTTATTTTGACAGAGAGAGACAGTGAGAGAGGGAACACAAGCATGGGGGAGCTGAAGAGGGAGAAGCAGGCTTCCCGCTGAACAGGGAGCCTGATGCAGGACCTGATCCCAGGATACTGGGATCATGACCTGAGCTAAAGGCAGACACTTAATGACTGAGCCACCCAGCCACCCTGCAAAAGACAAAATCTTAAAAAAAAAAAAAGAAATGAGGAACAACCAACTAAGGGACAGGAAGTGATTGATAAATCACAAATGGAGGGCTTAGATTAGAAGCAAAGCAGTATGGGTGGGTATTTGAAATATGTACGTTTTTAGGCTTGGGTGGAGAAAGTTGAAAGAGTTCTTCCTTGTCTGATGACGGACTGAGTTGTTCCTCAGAGGAAGGGGGCAGACACACCAGCTAAAAGGTCTGGGAAGCAGTGGAGTAGAGGGACTTGAGGATAATGGTGAAAGCTAGAAACAGTTGTTCCTTGGGAAAGAGAAGAGGAAGTGGCCTAGGAACACTAAAAAAGATTGGCTGGGCCAGGCTGAGGGCTGTGGTCAGGCTGGAGAGTACACAGTAATTGTGTATTATTCTGCAGGATTTGGTTTTCTTCAGCAAGTATGAGTCCAGACCTAAGTTCAAGAGTCTGGGAAGTGGATGGTTGGACTGATCTGAGGTTGGGTTTTTTTGCAGGGTTGAATGCAATGAAAGGAAAAAGACTTAGTCCTTGCAGAGAATGATATGTAGTGATACACTACCAGGTTATGTGATACTGCCTGTGTGACCCCAGTGTGATCATTTTGTTTTTCAGCTCAAAAATCTTCAATGACTTCTTGGTTTTTGTTTAAATCCTTGAATTGGTAAACAAAGACAAGATTGTCCCATAAAGTCAGTTCCAAACCCCTTTTCTACTGCTGTCCTTTCAGTTTCAGTTACCCACAGTGGTTCCCTCTTGGCCTTTGCTCTGGTCATTCTCTGCCTAAACTCCCCACCTCCTCTTAGCTGCCTGGACACTGTGGAACCTTAGAAGGCCCCAATCCAGTCACATTTCCTCTGACCAAACCTCCTTGACCACTTTCACCTGAAAAGAGCCCTAGTTTTTCAGAATATTTTTTTCAGTGTCACTTCCTTAGATCTTATCCTGACTTATCTTTTATATTATTCCTTTTCTGTTAGGCGGGTTCTATTTCTGCAACTACATTTCTTAAGTTTCTTTAGCACCTTTTCTCTTTGGAGGCTCATCATAAGCATTTAGTGGCTGATTATAGAGTCCAATAGGCAGAGAGGAAATGAACATTTTGAGAGTTCTACTTTGTGCTCAGCATTCAGTTAAATGCCTGGTATCAATCAGTGCTTCTCAAACTATCTTGGTAAAGGACCAAGTAGGTTCCCCCCCACCCCCGCGAAGCTGTTAAAAATTAGTACTTTTCTTTCTTTCTTCTCCCACCTCCGCCTTTACTGAGTTAGAATTGACATATAAGGGCGCCTGGGTGGCTCAGTTGGTTGAGCGACTGCCTTCGGCTCAGGTCATGATCCTGGAGTCCTGGGATCGAGTCCCACATCGGGCTCCCTGCTCGCCAGAGAGTCTGCTTCTCCCACTGACCTCTCTCCTCTCATGCTCTGTCTCTCTCTCTCTCTCTCTCTCTCTCTCTCAAATAAATGAATAAATAAAATCTTAAAAAAACTAAAATTAAAAAAAATGTTAAAAAAAAAGAATTGACATATAAAATACTTTTCTTTTTTTTTTTTTTTTTTTTAAAGATTTTATTTATTTATTTGACAGAGAGATCACAAGTAGAGAGAGAGAGAGAGAGAGAGAGAGAGGGAAGCAGGCTCCCTGCCGAGCAGAGAGCCCGATGCGGGACTCGATCCCAGGACCCTGAGATCATGACCTGAGCCGAAGGCAGCGGCTTAACCCACTGAGCCACCCAGGCGCCCATAAAATACTTTTCTAAAAACACTTTTGTAAAACACTGGAACTATTTAATTACTAATGATAAACAATTCAAATAGTGCTAAAGTGAAAGACAGATGTTATAAATGTTTCTCCTACCCCAGACATCCGCCCCCCAATTTCCCCAGAGATAATCATTATGAAGTTTCTTATGTATCCATTGAAGGGTTTTAGGTAGGGTGGTTATATGGTCAAATCTGGTAACCATGTTATGAAAAGACTTAACTAAGGCAGGGAAAGAGGTTAGGTTAGGAAGCAGTTGAGTAATCTAATCTA